TTGCACACTAGCCTTTTAGCACATCATCTAGAGCAGTAGTACTCAACTTACGGCCTGGGCAAGTCTGGCCCTCAGTAGGGTGCTGGATGGCCGTCCGTCCGTTTTGTGATGCGCAATGAAAATAAACTGGTAAATGCCGCAATTTGAAGGTGCCAGAGTGCATAAAAATAATCAATAGAGAGCTTGTTTAAAAAGAAAAAAGTGCCAGGGGACATGAGTGGAATATGAGGCTATGGGCCCCTGGGTACAGATATGCACAAGGCACCACTACCTCTTCTACACAGATGCAAGATGCACAGACTTTGTGGTGGTTCTTGCTTCTTTTTTGACATTTGCTGTAGTCATTTGTGTCTTTTAGGTAACTTTGTGTATATTTTGGTCATTTTGTGTCTCTTCCTGGTTGGTATGTATTAATTTGAGTGACATTTTGCAGGTGAAAACACTTGGCTCATTCTTTGCTCATTAAGTAATCCATCAATGCCAGGGGAGGATCCCTGGACCCCTCAACAGAGGTCCAGGGATCTCTACAGTCCTGGAGAAGCCCCAGCTTACACCTGACCTTTGTGGGGCTGCTTCACAGGATTTGCCTTGCTTATTCATTTTAACTGATACATTTTATAAAAGTGGCCCTTGGGTAAAGCAAGGTAAGTATCCCTGATCTGGAATATGCCACCCCCACATTTCACTACACAAAAACTTGGAGTATGTGACCAATAAATCTTTGAATCTTAAGTATGAGCAGAAGTAAATATTGTAGTGTGCAAACTGAGTGGTAATGGTTATTGAACATCTGTGGACACTCCAGACGGTGAGTGATGAATAGAGATGAAGCTAAGTGTGGCAAAATCACACGCTGAGAACTTTTTCCTGTCACACAGAACAAATGAATGTAGAAATGTTTTCCAGCTAAATGCATTTCTCTATTTAAATAAATCAGGAAATGGTTTCTGAAATGCACTTCCAGGATATAATTTCATTTCTTCAAATATCCCATTTTATTACAGTGGCTGTTTACCAGCAGGGTTGGCAATTTATTGCATCGTGTAACACGTCAGTCATTTCATCGCCATGGAAACCAGCGTGCCCAGTTGCTGTTAGAGCTCTGTTGAGCATCTGAGGCGCAGAGAGGCACATTTAAAGGTGAGCCAGATAGTGTTATGAAGTGGAATAAGGGGAAGCAACTGGGGTAACTGACAGGTAAGGAGCAATTTTACATGCATGCATATTATCTTCATTCATAAATATGTTTATTGACAGAAACAGTCGTAATGTAAAACTTGTATATTTTTGGACGCCTTTCCTTAAAAATTAGAGTGAGTGTCTTTATGTAATTTGTTCATGTGCTCAGGCTACACTGGGCAGCAACTTTTTCTGAGAACATATTTTATTGGATGATAACATATTGTATGCACTACCATACATATTTTTCAGTGGAAGAATCACACAGCAGTGCTCAGGAAGGTCTCATCAGCATTTTGTCCAAAGCAGAGTGACTCATTTTTGCACAGACTGCTGTGACACAACAACAGAGGGCGTTTCACTGTGACAAACTGCAAGGACATACATTGTGTCTTTTGATATTTGGGGGATAAATTGATATTAAACAAATTCTTTTCTATCAGCCGGAAAACAGTTGAGGACCATGGACCATTGAGGACCATCTTAAATGAACTATGTCAAGGACAGAAGCTCAAACTGGGCGCAGTTAGAATAGGAAAATGCTCAGGAGAAAACCAACTTCTTCCAAGTTACTTTTCCTCGGAAAATCAAGGACAAAAACCGGACACAGGAGCTTTGAGGTGTGCAGGCACAATGGCTCAACCTGCACGTGTAATGTGACTGAAATATCTGTGCAGATCTGTGAAGAGAAAATCAGTGATGAAGTTGAGACAGCATCTCCTACAGAGCGTCAGAAGCACCCGTCCTCCATGAATCCTGAAGCTCACAGATTGAACCACAATCAGTCGACACAAAAGCTGAATGCTTTGAAGCAAGTTTTCTCAACGTCAGTCAGCTGCTTCACGTGCACCCTGAAACCTGGTGAGGGAGGCAACTACAATGGAGGTGAACATTATGCTGGTACAATTCTGAACAGACACACCAGAGAGTCTGTGGACATGAACACCACAGAAATATATCAGGCAAGCAAGGCAGAGTACAAGCCATCTGTGGGAGTGAGGGAAACATTTAAACTACATCACCCCACTGTTGTTTATAAGTTTCAATCAGAAGCAAAATCTTTAAACTTTCTGCGGCTAAAAGCATTTTGGAGGAAGAAACATCTAAAGCCTTTTCCCTTCTTGCAGGAGTGCAATGGAGAAACTAATGAGTGCATGGCAGAGGAGATAATAGTCCTGGCTAATGAACATGCTGATGAGATCACAACCCAGAGCACACACACAGAAACTGTAAAACACCACTGTCCTGAGATACTGACAGTGAGTGTAGAAGTGACTGCCATGACATTAGAGATGAACAACAACAATGAAGACAGCAAAGCCTCCAAAACACCCTCACTTGTAAGCAACAGCAGAAAAGTGATGGCAGGAAGTTCAAGCGAGGGTGTGATCGGTATTGGAGAGACTCACATGATCCCACAGTGTCCACGGGACTCCCACATGAGTCACAGCAGCACAGTGAGTCCTGACCATGGCTGTTCTCAAAACATGGACAGTTTACAAAAGCAACAAAGCCCCCCTAATGCAATTTCAATGGAAAATGCGTCACAGCATCCAGCAGTAAGGGACGACATCAGACTTCAGGCAGCATTCAGCAGTGACTCATTCTCAGTTCACTATGATGATGATGATGATGATGATGATGATGATGATGATGCAGCGGAAAATGGCCCAATGGGAAACAAAATAACAGCAAGCGCAGTGATGGATGTTGCTGCTGTGGAGGATCTAAGCTTGGATGTGTCTGATGCTAGTTTTCATGTCATGATGGTTCACTCTGAACAAAATGCAGAACAACAGTTTGAGATAGGAGAGCTTTTCCTGCTAGATGTAGCACGCTCTGTGGTTGAGGTTGCAATAAAAACTGCACTGGAACAGTTTAAAGATGAAGCGCTGGGAACCTCTGCCCATCCTGATCCTTTCAACTGACACTGAGCGAGAGAAAGCTATCATGTTTGTGGATATTAGGGTTGAGCTGAGTACTTGGATAGAATTAGTTTTTAAGGTATGGATGATGTACTTTTTACGAGTACAAGTCTCGTCCAAATTAGATGTGTCAATATCTGTACTTGTGCTGAAGGAAAATCCTCATTTGGGTGTTTAATCTCTTACTCTTATGATCGAAAATAATCTGAAGTTCGGTCCTGAGATTGTTCTGCAAATAGTTTTCTAATAATTAATAAACATAGCAACTTCTGATCAACCCATATCAAAATTAAAAAACAACTTCTAGTTAGGTCCCACCCATATCCAGTTTAAACTCTGCCCTTCCAGAGTACAGATACAGATACAGATATATTAGCTGGTTGAACAGATACAGATACAGATAATGGTGCACTCGCTCAGCCCTATTGGATATTATGTTTGTCTTGAAGACGGCAGTAGAAGAACAGGACGGAGGCCAACTTTTGGCCTTTTGGCAGTGCTACAAGAGAGGTCAGAGGTCATCAGAATCAATGGGAATCATTCTGTGGGAAAAACATGGCCAGATCAGGTGCTTGGCCCCCAGTAACACCCCCATGCTCTGTGCAATGTGCTCTACAAAACTGACAAAAGGGTGGACTTAAAGTAGTCGTACTGCAATTAGTAGGAATGGAGTGACCTTACTCTCCTTAACCCATTATATCAGCTGATATTGTGTTTTAGTGTAGCCCAGGGGTCGGCAAGCTTTATTATCAAAAGAGCCATTTTTGACCAAAATAATTATCTGAAAGTCACACAGCCTCTGGTATATGTTAGCCTATCAACTTTATTAATAGATGTAAATGAGCTTTCATTAGTATGTTTTACCACAATGTAGCTACTTTGCAGTGGGCTCTTTATGATTATTCAGTACATAAACTTTGCAGCATTTGTGGTAAAAGCAAACAAACCCGTCCACACCCTATTAAATACTTTATTTTCCTCCAAGACTTTTCCTTTTATGGATTTAGAGTCCATAGCTAGCTCAGAGAGGGAGGCTCAAGAGGAGCTACACGTTTTAAGGTGATGAAATATTAAAACATTTTTCTTATTTCGTGTGTAGGCTACACATTTTACAGTTGGAACAGTTGTAAGAACTATTTAAGTTTTACAATGTTGATAAAGGAAAACGAAAATGTAAAAAAAAACAAAAAACAGCTGTTATATATTTTGATTTTCTTTTTTTTTTTGTCAAAGCCACAGGGAGCCACTGGAGAGGGGCCACATGTGGCTCTGGAGCCACAGGTTGCCAATCCCTTTTATAGCCTATTATATATCATTTACCAATGTGATGTTAAGATATTCTGCTGGACCTCCTAAACATTTCCAAGATGCAATGGACAGATTTGTTTGGGCCACTATAAGCCCATGATATTCCAAAATTCTAACAGGATTTATTGGAATATCAGAGGAGCTTATGGTGACTTTAGATCGCTGTAATATTTCAAAATATTTCTATAGGCACTCATGTTTCTGACACTCAGTATTTGGGTTTTATTGAACTTCAGCCTATTGGTCCACATTATATTTACAGTAAACAGAAGTTAGGTGTAGTTTAGTGTAGGGGCTGTGCAATATCTTTTGTAGCCTACCTGACCTGCATTTTATTTTACCAACTCATTCTGTTCATCATATGAGGAGATTCTCCAGATATTTGTTTGCCATACAATGTTGTCAAGGCTGAGATATTCCCAGCACATCCACATCACCATATTCCTCCGTGTAGCACCGCCCTGCATAGTTACCAGCCAGCTGTGCACGTTTACCACCTCAAATCATAGAGAGAAGTTCATACGCATCTGTTTTGGATGAATGTGTTTAAAGCAACTGACGTCTTGTTTGTGTGAATAAACCAGACACTTTTTTTCTGGATTAGTTTATTAGAGATGGATTTAATTCTTTACAATCAGAACAGTGAATCGAGGGTTTCTTCATCATTCGCGACCGCCACGACCGCGGCCACCTTGACCACCACGTCCACCTTGACCACCACGCCCACCTTGACCACCACGCCCCTGACCACGGTTACTACCAGGACTACCGTGCTCACCAGGGGGACCATGATTTCCTCCACCCCCCCCACAGCCTCCATGTCCTTCTTCTCCCTGTTCCTCCTGTAAACAAACCGTAAGAACAATATCTTAAAACACAGAGATATATACAGCTGAATAATTTTATTTAACACAAGATACTGAATCAGCCAAACCAGTATGAAGCACACAAGAGGAAGTTCAAAGATGTCTTACTTTGTCATGCTCACGTCCTTGGGATCCATGTTCCCCTGGCCCCCCTTTCTTATCGTCCTACAGAGGAGGAAACAGCTTTTTAAGTACATGTTTTCATGCTGTCAGTCATATAGGTCTGACACACTGTAAGTAAACAAACAGACTCACATTGCCGCCACCTGTGATGGAAAGACACAAAAATACAGGATTTTGAATGAACAAAAACATTGTCAAAAGCAGTTGCATATGGACAGTTTATGAAAAAGAAGCAGAAGAAGGTATACATCATTAATCCTCAAGGGGAATTTTTTTTCACTCTGTTGTCGTATACACACAGACCTGCTGGAGTACACACACACATACACATGCACAAACAGGACTGATGCATGCATTAAACTGGGAGATTTGAGAATGAGGGTGCTGCCTTGGACAGGTGCCCAGGAAGTGAACTGGCATTCTCTAGCTGCCAGTCCACACTCCATGCTTAGTCCGTATTGGGGCTTGAGCCAGCAACCCTCCAGTTCCCAAGCCAAGTCCCTGTGAACTGAGCTACTGTCACCGCCAATAAACTCATCACTCAACAAACTTGTCACCTAAACAGAGACTTGAACCCTAGACCCTCAGATTAAAAGTTCTAATGCTCTACTGACTGAGCGACCCAGGCTTCAAAAACATCTGAATGCAGTATTTGTTGAATTCAAGCCAAATTATTTTTCTTTTGTTTAAAATATCTTCAACAAAGAACAAATGTTTTCACTTGTTTTGTGAAGGATTTGAATTCCTGGCAACAAAAATTCTCCAAATTGTGTTTGCACAAATATATATGCACATGTGCAGTGTAGAAAAAAGTGCATCATCCAATTTATGACGTGTAGTTTGCTCTACGTGTGTTTACTGTTTTACTGAAACATGCAGCTACTGGTTAAAGAGTTAGAAATACTTAGATGTCACATTGTTTTTCAGAAAAACATGCTCATATACAGAATAAACTTGTTACTAACAAAAAAAAAAAATGCACAGGAAACTATTGCAAAGCATTCTTTAAAAATATAACAATCAAAGAAACTTACTGCTCATTTTGCCTCGTTGCAAAGTGCAGTAGAAAGTCTTTTCCTGGAGAACAAAAAAAGAGAGTCATTAATCTTCCGAGCAGTCGTCACAAATAAGCAACAATGCTGCTGTTGCACAGCATACCTGCTGCAGAAATCAAAATGATTTGTGTCTAAAGTGTGCGTTCGGTCTGTATTTATAAGGTGCTGTATGAGATAAAGAATGTGGGTGTCTTAGTGCTGCACGCAAGTCCCATGCTCTAGAGCCAGAGGGATGAAACTGGCTGAACGTTAACATCACAGGACAGCTTTTGTTCTACTCTGAATCATCAAAACTCTCTCACGCACAACTATTTATTGCTTGCTATTTCATTAATGTGTTGTGGGAAACATTACACACTGCTTAGATTACATTTGTATGTCCAATGATCACATTTGACATGTTTGGAAAATTATCTCACTCACTGTATTTTGCTATTGTAAACATATGTCTCACATGTTACAAGTAATAAGTCATTGTTATTGTTCCATGTTTTGATTATGCTTCATGCAAACCCGGTTCTGCAGGGTGCAGCAGGTTTCTCTTGCAGGATATGCAATGAAAGCGTAACTGCTGCTAATGTTGAATCAAATGAAACTCAAACACACGTTACAGAGTGGCTAAGTAGTTGTGGTTGAAGTAAACTACGCAATATAACACTATAAAATACTCCATTACAGGTGCATTTGTATTTTTACGCACTGACACAAAGGTATTATCAGAACTTTGCAAGCTACCAGTTACTTCACACTGGAAGAAGTTGAGCCAAGCGAAGGAATCTAGTTTGGTTTATGCTGCTTGGAAAAACATAGTTCAAACTACTACGAAAAAAGTCACATGCCAGCAAAAAACAACCCATTCAGTTCAGGTTATAAACCAAAAAACAAAGAAATAGAAACACAGTTCACAGTAAAGTGCAACAAATGTCAGCTTTGTCCATCGGTTACACACCTGCCATCCAGGAACTATAGTCCAAGTGTGGGTTTATTGTACCAAGCAGGATTACTCAGTTAGCCAGCTATTATAACAACATTTATAACATCTAAACCAAGGGAGTCAAACATACGGCCCGGGGGCCAGAACCGGCCTGCCATAGGGTCCAATCTGGCCCACTGGATGATCTTGCACACCTAATAGTGATGCACTTGTGAAGGCTGAGAGGTTTGTCATCTATTTTGTAAATGGATTAGTGTTTTTAAAATGTGCTTCTTTAAACAAAAAAAGGGAAAATGTTGTTATTTATAGGATATTATGCAGTGGTTTTAAAAGTCTGACCCACCTGTGATCCAATCAGGCTGTGGCCCATGAACTAACATGAGTTTGACACCCCTGATCTAAAAATGTGTTAATTAACTAAAGCATTGATCAACACTTGTGACCATTTGTGAAAGGTCAAATGTGTTGTGGTGACTGCCTGATGAATGCATTGCCTGGGTACAACGTCACAGCTGAGCCAATAAAACACAGATGAAAAAGAAAAGGGTGGGGCTGCTCAGATATGGCTCAATTACAGCAGAGATGCAATGGTAAAATAATAATAAAAAAGACCATTGCTTTCCTTTTATTATTGTATTACAGTAGAAGTATTACTTTATTTAAGTAGTTAACTACACAGAATAGCAAAGCTACTTATTGAATTGCATGCACTTCACTACTCACCAACACTGCAGGTAAATGTTCACTGACCCCTGTCTGTCATATTATTTGTTTCTTATTACTGATGCTTCATTATGCATGTAACATTTTGATGTTTTGCTAATTTAAGTGGTTAATTTTAATACTTTATCATGTTGGGAAGTTCACCTATAATAACATCTAATATTTTATAAGTTGATCATATGTTTTACATGTAAAATCTTTATCTTACGTATCATATAAATGTAGAAAACTGTAGCAAAAAGCACATTATTTGCCTCTAATGTGTTGCTGAGTAGAATATAAAAAAGCAGAGCATTAAAATTCTCCAATAAAATATCGCAAAATAGGAAAGGAAATACAAAAGTGAGGAGCAAACAAGAGTCTTCAGCAGTCATAAATGCAAAAGCAGGACCGCCTGTGACGTTGTGCACATTTTGTTTTTCTCAATAGCTCAAACTGCAAAACCAGAAACACAACCGCCATTGTCTGTCTGGGTATTTACAATAAACATGCACTTAACAACTTCAGCACACACCTTCTGGCACACCTTTTACGAAGCCATTCATACAAAATTAGCCAGTGTTACATAAGGTGATGGAACAGACAAACAGGTGTGTCTGTCTTGGTGAGTTTCCAAGTAGACACCCAAAGTTATTATGACCTGAAATAATCCGTCTTTTGTTTTCCTAACTGAAGATGTGACTAAACATGGTGTGCTCTTATATTTTGATGTAGCTCTGTCTCATGTCAACATTAAACCTGAGCGAATCTTTGAATTTGTACAAGCTTGGCATAATAGGCACATTAGCACTCAAGCAAATGAACGTCTAATTTTCATCTAGACACTTGAATGTTTGTAGTGCATGCCTTGCTTACTTACAGATAACCTCATCTGTAAAAGCAATGTCAAATCATGTTAATTTGGGTGAGACATATAGGTCTGCCTGAGCTTTTCAGCACTGTGCATGCAGCTGAAAACACAGTGCTGTATCTGTTTTAAAGTTGCACAGTGCAGATAATGACACTTCTGTGACTTTAGATAATCATCTGTCAATAAATCAGGTTATGAAATAAAAAGTCAGCCACTGCTGCCAGTTCTTTTAAGTCAAGCCGATTAGGATCAGTGTTACTGATCCACATTTTTATTCTCCCCTAAAAATATTAGTTTTGTTTCATGCTACAAGAGGACATGGTTAATCACAGTGTACAGGGAAAAGGGGCCTCTGGCGATGATTTTCTGATGAAACAGTGACACTAGTTTACAATTCAAATGGTGCTTAATTATATTAATATACCCACTGTAATTTTTTTTTTTTAGAATTGTTTTGTTCATTCATTTCATTTTTAATTGCATTATTGTTTCATCTATTCCAATTAATCTCTGTTAGATTCCATTTAAAAAATAAATGCGAAATATTTATTATATGATTTTGTAATAATTGCAGGTTAAAATTTAGGAAAGTCTGTTGTCCTCTCCTCAGGAGTCAGCACTCTCCTTCATGTGTTGCAGGCTCCGGTTGACAGTTGCTTTGGCGCCATCTAGTGGACATGATGTGGAACTGCAGCCTGTCTGCTGTTAGCTTAATGAAGGTGAGCCCAGCTAATGTGAAGGTCAGTACAGTTTAACTTTGATGTCTCACTTATCTGTTGAAAAAATAACCTAAAGTCAAACTCTTCAAAAAAATACTAATTTTGAGTTACTGTGGGCACTTAAAAAATAGATTTAAAGCTAATATCAAAGTTGTCTTAAGATACAGCCTCTGTGGTAATGAAGCTTCAAAACTGTTAGCTGTGGGCTAAATGTATTCGTTATCATCATAAAAGCTAGCTGTAGTATGAATGTGTCTGTCTGTCTCTTTGCCTGTGTTAGCCCCAAGACTGGCACCCTGCTTGTAGAAATGTTTGGATATGGACACAGTGAATCTGGTATTATGGTAAAGACAAAAACAGCAGAGTGAACTACATAACTAAGGTTAGCTTATAATGTAACATTGGCGCACATTAAACAGACAATGTGAAAAGGCTACATTATAAGAAAGCAAATTTGTGTGAAGGATAAAATTATGTTGTCGCCATGCTAGCATGACTGAAAAAAAGTTTTTAAGTATTCATGGTTCCCTGAGGATGTATTTTAAAAAGTTTGTTCATCCAGCGCTATCATCAGGTAAAAATTTCTCTTCATACGTTACTTTAATTTATGCCCAAATACCTACAAAACTAACAACATTTCTATCAACCTCACTTTACTTTATTTGCTAAGTGCTAATTAGCACATGTTAGCATGGTACAACGTGCTAAACATTGGCATTTAGCATCATCTGTGGGCACGTTAACCTGTTAGCTTTAGCATTTAGCTCACAGTCTCATTGCGCTGCTTGTCTTGTTAAGTGATTTATAGGGTTAAAGGACAATTACATCCATTTTTAAAATTCATATATGTTATCCTTGTGGTCTAACACAGTCCAAAAATATTAGTAAACCTCAACAACTCTCTCCTGCATCCAAAACCTAGAGCGCTAAAACTCAAATTTGTGTTAAGCTGCCCCAAAGGCAGTGACTTTTTAAAGATGTTATCGATGACAATGGCCCTCATTTATCAATCTAATGTACAAACCAGCGCAGAGCTGCGTGGAGGAAATGATCTTGCATTTAAGTTTGCATATGATTCTTCTCAGCTGTCATTTAAATGTCACGCCCCAATATATTCTCAGTTTAGAGGTCTAGCCCCTAGAGTTTACATCAGGCATAATACGGCCAAGAAGAGAAACTTCTCTGAGCTAGAAATTGAAACGCTGACATCCCAGGTTCAATTGGTTCTATCTAGCAGTCTGAAAAGTGGCATTAAAGTCAGGAAAAAAGCAGTATGGGAAGAGATCACTGCTGCCATCAACCACGTTGCAGTGGACATTCACACTTGAGGTTGGGATATTTAATTTATACATCCATGATATGTATCAACCTATAGCATGCATATGTTAAAAATAGCTTATGATATTGTATTGATAATGTTATAAAAGCCTATTCATATGAAAGCTTAAAGGTCAGATTAGGAGCGTGTGGCTGCGTGTATTGGGTCTGCTTCCATTTTGGGCATAACAGGTGGTGGAGGAGACAGAAAATGGTAAAAATGTAATAACCCATAGACTACTAATTTAAATGTTAAGGATAATTTTATGATAACTGATGTAAACATGTTTGGGCAGTAGTGGTGTTCAATTTTGATCAGCCTGGAGCCAGTCCCATAGAGCCAGGCAATTTGTAGACTCACAAGTCAGTCTTTAGACGCTATGCTTAACTAAAGACTAGTGTTGCCAGATCTAGCGAGACAAATAAGCAACCAGGCCTGTGAAAACAAGCCCAAAACAAGCGACTTTTTCTACGGAGCCCTCCTAGGTTCCGGGGAGAGAAAATTAAATAAACTGTGGGCACGGTTTTACAGTCCATGGGGACGGATTTTAAACTGTGGGTACAGATTGTCAATTTAAATCCATGTGGACAGATAAGTAAACTATGAGCAGTTTTGCCATCAGGGTCAGAGCCAATTAGAA